CATTTATTCGCGGAACCCCTCCTTAGCCATAAAAAACAAGACCCTAGCATTTGATAGAAAGTGGATGGACATGGAAGATTTGTTGCTGAGTGAAGCAAGTCAGGTTATGAAGGAGAGACATTGTATGTCTCTGCTTAACATATACCAACTGTCTACACTCTATGGTAGAGATTGAAAGACTGGAGGTCATAAAAGCATTGAAAATTGCCATGGATACTGGGGACAAATTGAAGGAGAGTGGGAGAGGGGAAGAGTGGTAGAAGCAAGACAGTTCCATACAAATTTCCGTATTGTTTTGATCTTTGAACTTATGAATATATTATCCATTCCAAAATAAAATTTCAAAGTAAATGAAAAAAATTAAAGATAAATTAAACAGGGCCCAAGAAGTACAATATAGTATTGTAGGGGCCCATAATAAGAGCCAAGAAACAATGAGTCATCAGAAAAGTCATGATGCATTTTGGCACAGAAAATAAATGAATTTCCCAATAATATGGAAAAAATAAAAGGCATACAAAGTACAAACATGAGTGTCGGCAGTGCCCAGCAGCATGAGGTAAGAGCTGGAGTTCTACCTGGTGGCATATGAGAGGCGTGGGCGGTGGATTTCTGGACAGTGGTACTAATGACATTTGGGACAGGATCCAGCTTTGTCGTGGGACTGTCCTGTCGGCCAGTATTCCTGGACTCTACCCCCTCGGGTGGCAGTAACACTCCCTCTCCCCAGGTGTGACAGCCAAGCAGGTACCAGACAGTGCGACAGGACCAAGGGAGGAGGTGCATCCAAATCGCCTCAGTTGCGAATCACTGCCTCCGCTAATCTGAGCAGTAAATAGATTTTCTCTTTTCTTTCCATTGCCAGAAGATGCAGCATGTTTGCCAGAATGAAAGATAGAGACAAGGAGAGAGAGAAAGCATCTTTCAGTGAGGCATGGTCCCAGGGAGAGACAGAGAGAAAGCATCTTTCAGTGAGGCATGGTCATGTCACAAATACTTTTTCTCCATTTGCCATTCCATCAGGATTTGGGGCACGCATATAGAAGCAACCAGCCTGGTTTTTTTTAAGCTGTTGAGCCAGGATTCCACCCATAAGGGGCCGTGAGATCCAGATCTCTTAACCACTCACTGCTCTATGGAGTTGGCCTGGAATATGAAGTAAATTTTCTGAGCAGCTTACATATACGTGTAAAGTTTTTCCGTATTGTTATAATCCTGACTCAACCAGTATGTATGCTATTTTGGAACTTCTTTTTAGTGACAGCAATGATTTACCAGAAATATGTTTCCTTTTAATAAGATACTTATGCTGCTGGATGATTTGGTGCAATTTTTATTACTTTGACAGTTTCTGTATGGAAGCCAATCACCATTTCTTCGATGATGTTAGAGAAACGGGGTTAAACACCCACGTCCACACACACTTTTCAGGAGAGCTTGTTGTCTGTCTGGGGAGAGGACATCTCCAGTGTGTTTGAAATAATACTATTATTGACATCTTGTGTTTATCTTTCCCTGGGAGTCTGGAATCCTTCAAAATCCTTCAAGAAATTGTCCCAACTGGTGGTAAGGCGATAGTTAATGAGCGCCGCACGTGAGACAGCCGCCACGGGACGTTGACCTGAACGCAGAGGCCCTGCTCTCTGCAGCGCCACGCCGATGGCCCAGCGCGTGGAAGGCGTGCAGGGGTCCTGCGACAGGAGCGCCCCCTAGCGCACCCCGCGGCGCTCACAACCACTGCGAAGTGAGACTTCCCCGAGTCGGGAGACAGGCCGGCGATTACCGTCCAACCACCTGCGCGTGCGGCCACGGCTTTCACAGCGCTGTGGTGGCCCGGAGTCTGGCTGGGACTGAGTACTTCCAGCTCGCGGAGCAGGGAGGCCACATTTCCCATAGAATCTGCGTGCTCTCCCGAAGCCCGTTTTATGAGCTGCGATGGAAAATCATTTTCGCCCTGAAAAAATTGGACTCTAAAGACGGAATACATGGAATAAACCTGGAGCCTGCGAAGGCATCTACACCCCGCCGCCCCGCCCCAGGCCCCGGCTAGTTGTTATCCGGCTCCCAACCCCGGCCGCGCGTGCGGACTCGGGCCTCCGCCGCCGCCCTGGCCAAATAGCAAACAGATGCTCAGCCTGCCCGAGACCCCACCGACCCGGCACCGCCTGGGAAACCAGTTCCAGCCCGGCGCTTTCGGTGCAAAGATCATTTTATTCTCTTTTCTAGAAAGGTCTGGTTTTGAACCCTGGATGATCAGGGGAGCAGAGAATCGGGAACCCGGGCCGGGCAGTGAGTTGCAGAGCTGAGCGCAGGCTTTAAGGCGGCCTTGCGCCCCATTCGCCTGGAGACGCAGGCGCCGCTCTTGACTTTCTGCGCCTCGGGGTAGCCCCGCTTGCCCAGCTCCTGACGGGGTCCGGACCCCGACCTGGTTGCATCCTCACTCTCCCCGCCTGAGTCCCGTGCGTCCCGAGCTGTGTTCGGGAGGCGAGTTCAGAGCCACAGGTTGGCTCCAGAAGTCTGCTCAGTCGGCGCGGCCGCTCCTTGCAGGGTGCTCTAGCGCTCAGGCCCCGGCCGCGCTCCCGGTCTGGGGAGCAGGTGTGCGCGGACCGCGGGCAGAGCCTATCCCGACCACGCCCGAAGCCGTGCGAGGGCACACCCAGAACATTCTCGTAGTCCAAGTAGCCCCGTCGGAAGTGTCCAAATTGGAGACTGTCCGGTCGCTCCTCCCCGCGGTGACCCTGGAAACCTCTGCTGAGCAGGGGCTCCCTTCGGGCCTCGCACGGCCGGGCCCGCCCTGCTCCGGCGCTCCGGCGGGGCGGGGGTGGGAGGCAGGGACCTGGATCTGATTAGCTGGGAGCTGGAAGCCTAGGTCCTCGCCGCCCCTAGGCCTCCCAGTCGGCCCGGGCTCCCGGAGGAGGAGGGACAGCACAGGAGAGGTGGGCCGGGGGTCCCAGCGCTGAGCACGCCAGTCGGAGCTTGGCTCCCCGGGCTCCCGCTCGCGCCCATGCCCGCCCGCGCCATGGGGCCGCCTTCCAGCTCTGGCTTCTACGTGAGCCGCACGGTGGCCCTGGGGCTGGCCGCGCTGGTGGGGGGGCCGCCGGTGGGGG